TTAACATCATTTGCAATATCTGAATAAAAGTCTTCTGTTTTTATTTCATATGCTAAAGAATCTGTGTCTGTGAATAACAGCTTAGCTTTATCTGAATATTTATTTTTTATATAATCATAGTGAAATTCGTACATTAGTATATTACTCAAATCTAAAATGCACATACCCAAGTAAATTGGCTTATTAAAGACTAGTTTTGTCCTTTTTATATGTATTGCTATTAAGTTTTCATCAAATATTTTTCTACTTTCGTAGTTTGGTTTTGATGCTAATTTAATAGCATCTTCTCTTTTAGTGATTAATCTGATATCTACTCTGTTTTCATTATTCTCCATTGTTTTGCCAAATACAGAGTTATTCATGAGTTTAAAAAATTCTTTTTCAAACTTATTCTTATTAATCACTGCTTTAATTCTTAGATTGTATTTATTTTAATGTATTCACTTAGCCATGTTTTTTCTTCAAACTTTATTCCTCTATGAATTTTTTAAAATTTCAATCCTAATCTTTCATACAATTTCAAATTTTCATAGTGGATGATATAATTTTTCTTATGATTCAAATTGGGTACTAACTTTTCAACTTTGACAATTTTTAATTTTTCAGGAGCAAGAGAATAATCATTATGTAAATCATGTAAATGTTCAGGGTATTCTAAATCTACTTCTAATACACAAGAAATAGATTTCCAATTTTTTAACTCTTCTTCACTCATCCATTGAAAACCATGTGTGGGAAGTAGTTTACTCATAGGCCATCCATATAAATTATTTGCATCTAAATACTGTATGTAAGTAGATTTTTTACTTTTATCATATGCATCATCAATGTGCTTAGGAAACTTGGATACTTTTAATTTGTGAGGTTTTCCACTTTGTATTCCTTGCGTTATTGTTGTCATCATTTCATCTAACTATTCAAAACCAGGCGTAGGAAGTGTTTTTTACTTATTTCCCATTTAAATTTCATACTAATTCTGCCTTGTATTCCTTTCTCTATTTTTTCACCAATCCATTTATTATTTAGTAATACTACTTTTAAACTCATATATCTTATCAGTATTTGCATTATCCATATATTTATTATTAGCAGTTCCTAGTCTGTTAGAAATCATACTAATACCTCCTCGTATTCCTTGTTTAATCATATAGATCATGTCATAATCACTTAATAATTCTAATTATACTTTAGATATTAACAATACAGCATCCCAAGCTAATTCTGGTGATGTATAATACCAAGCAGGATCTAATTTAAAATTTTTCATGCAGACATCTCTGAAATTTTCAAAGATATCAGCTAGTAATAATACAACTGAAACATTGTATAAATTATGATAATCTTTAAAGGTTTTACAATCAAACTCTTTCCATACAGTTTGTGCATGTAAATAATCTTTATTGCTTATTTTTTCATAGTTTAGCTTAGAATAGAATGATTCTTTAGTTGGTAGTTTAGTTTCGTCTAATTTATTAAAGGAATCAACCCATTCATAGAGATATACACCTTTTCTTAGTAATAAATCTACTTTACTACTTGGATATAATTTTTTTATATTCTTATCTAGCTCTTTAAGTTTATCTTTTGTTAAATTTTTAGTTAATTCATCTAAACTATCAGCCATAAATTTAAAACTATCGATGAGACGTATTTCTTTTTTAACTTCAACTTTTTTTTCCTTCTTTAATTATAAACTCATCAACTTTAATTTCTTTAGAAAAGCTGGTATACTTTTCTTTATTGCTGGGTATGCAATTTATTTTTCCTCCTTCTGATTTTCCATTTCCTGACAATTTCTTTATAAACAAGTGGCAATCATAACCAGATAAATTATAAAATAGTACTGGAAAGAATTTTGGAATTTTAAATTGTAAATTACAATCTTTATGAGCAGCTCCTCTATATTTACCAGTAATATGACAATGATCGCGTACTCTATCCTCTTTTAATAGTTCTTCGCAAATGTAACAATTTTCTGCATTATTAAAACTATTTTTGTCTTCAAGTGTGAATATCATCTTTTTTGGGAATCTTAAATAATCGATGTAAATCTTCTTTATATCTTCTAACATATCGACAAATTTTTGTGTCATCAACATCATCTTCTTCACTGCTTACAGTAAATGTAACTGGTTTACTTTGATATACACTTTCATCAAAACATTTGATATAGTAACAAAAAGAACTTGGTGTATGTCTTTGATACTGTTTTGTATAAGATTCATTTGGATTGGGTGTACAAGTGTTGATAGGTGTAATAAAAGTCTGCATTAACTACAAAGGGTACTCTCATAGTTCTTTTGAAATGGTTAAACTTTATCATTGTCTTTTGTTCTGGAAGTTCAATACGTACTGAATTATGAGTATCACAATACAATTTATGCTTATATAAAGATTCCTCAGTACTAAATCCTAACCAGCAATTTCTACAAAAGTGAATTTTATGCCCATTTTTTGATATTTGTGGTGAAAGTTATCTACTTAGGCTTTTTATTAAGCAATAATGATTAGTTTCATTTAAAATTAGTAATAAATCTATTTGATGTTGTCTGTTTTTCTCATTTGATATTCGTAAAGGATAAACTGAACTTTCGTATCCAAATACATTGACACTTATGTCTTAATTGTTTTTCTCAAATTGAGTAATTTGATGGAGTGTCACTGGGAATTTTATATTTTCCTAATTTAATTTTTCAGCTTGTTTTATTAGATCTTTATCTACTTTTTTAGAATTATTTTCTTTTGGATTAAAAAATCTAGCAACGCACCACTTAAAGCATTCGTTGTCTTCATTTTTAATATTAACTGTTGCATTTTTAGCTGCTAACTCTTTATTAAGAGGAATGTAAGATCTAGCATTGATGGGTTTATGTTCAATGATATTAATGTCCATCTTTTTAACTGAAACAAATCTCCAACTTGATCCCATCTGTTGAAATGTGGACAAGGGTTCTAAAATTTTATTTGTAGCTCTTTCATATAACTCATTTAAATCTGTCGATTCTAAAACAACTTCTGCTTTTGTTGAAAATGAAACAATATTTGTTATAGTTTCTCACGTTTTAAGATCAACTCGCTCCATTTCACATGAAAGAACAATATAGATCTTTGATCCTTTATTACTGATCAGTATTTTAATAACATTATTTTTAGCTGATTTGATAAATGACAAAGCATCATATCCTTCAACACCTTTAGCTAAAAATTGCTTTGTCATATTTTTAGCAGCTGATTGCGTTAATTTAAATTCTATTGGTTTTCTAACTCCAAATCTTTTATACAAATTAGAAACAGTAGATTTTATTGATGTAAGTTTCTCATATGCAGTCTTTTTAATGGGTTCAGGAACATAGAACATAATCCAATTAGCAAATGAATTCACTTTATTATTAACAATATTAATATAATTACTTGGAACATACTGAGAAGGTGTTAGAACATTTTGTGTAATATGTCCTGGAATAGGTTGGTCAAATGTGATCTTTGTCCTAATTTTCTTTGCTCTAATTCTCTTTGTCCTAATTCTCTTAAAAGATCTGTTTTTCTCATTTTATAATAATATTTGATTTTTCGTTCTTTTGCGATTTTTCTCAATTCTATTAATTTTATATTTTCCATTTTTATATATACAAGAAAATTATTTAACTCATTTCAAATTTTCATTTTTTTCTTGTAAAGAAATTAAAATAAAAAAACTAAAAAATTTCTTTTCATATTTTTATAGATATTAAAAGTCTATAAAAATATTTTTTTAAAAGAAATTATTCTACATTTTCTTTTACATCATCATATTTAGATTTTATTAATTCTATTTTTATACCATTTTCAACTTTTCCATTACGCAAATATAAATATCTATATCCATGTTTTTCCTTTCTGATATAATTATATATAGAATTGTATATTTTAACTTCTCCTGTTTCTACATTAGTCAGTTTAATAGATGCTGGATTTGTTCTAATTTTTGTTAGTCTGTCATATTTAGGATCTCTTTCTTTTTTTTCTTTTATAGGATAAATTCTTGGTCTTCCTACAGGTCTTTTCTTTTTTTTTACTTTTTCTTTTTTAACTTTTTCAATCTTTGTTTTTTTTTTGTTTTATAGTAATGATATTTGATTGTATAGATTCTTTATCAATTAAATTATTATCCCTAGCAATCATAACAAATGCAATGTGATCTTTAGATGTTTGTTGTATATTATTTTTTTTTTAGTAATTTTAATAAATACTTTTTTGTATATTTTATTTTATCACTCACTTTTATTATATGAAAAAAATTAATTTAAATTACTTTCAAATAATTTAAATTGTTATGTTTCTCTTGTAAATTTTTTAAATTTATTATATTTTTAAATCTTTTCTTCTAATCTTCTTCTTTATAATATCTTTTATAAAATTCTTCTATTCCATCTTGTAATATTATTACACTCCATTTTTCATGAAACCAATCTCTCTCTCTTTCCATTCTTTCGTTATATGTTGTATTTCTTTCTCTTCTTAATATTCTTTTTTTTCTTAATCTTTTTTTTCGTTTATTATACAATCATTTAATCTTTGTCTTGTTACTACTATTCCTTGTCTTATAAGACTTTCTTCCATTTTTTCTTCAAGTTTTTCTTCAAGTTCTTCTTTCTTCTCTTTTGTAAGCAACTTCTTCTTCATATTCATTATAAGAAATTCATTTATGTCATTTTCAAAAAAAAAAAAAATTTATTGTACATTTTTTTATTGTTTTCTTTTTTATATAGAAAATTAAAATTATTTTTTTAATTTTAGTTTTTTATAGACTTTTCTATAAAAATTCACATTTAGACTTTAGTCTGCCTAATCTTTCTGATATGAAAACAGCGAATGCTTCAGTTCCTACTGGAACATTTGCACTAAAGTATGCTATAGTTTGAATATCTTATACTGAAGGTTTTAATCTTTCTGATTGTTAGCTTAAATCAAAAACCATATGTGAATATAAATCTTTATAGTCTGAAGGTTACAATTTGATGTTACAATTTTTTTTTTTTAAAAGTAGATGCATCTCTATAAGCTCTTGAAAATTGTTGATTTGGAAATGATAGTTCATAATCAGCTTCAGGAAATCTTACATTATTAATCATGACTTGCATATTTGTCAAGTTACAATGATCGAATATTAAATTATTTTGTGTTTGATCATTATTTCTATTTGTTTGGAATCCTACGATAATATATCTAGGTTTTTCATCACTCTTAACACCACGTTTCCAAGTCAATTTAGATGTTTGTTGGGGAGTTGTAGTTTCACACGATCTAGAATAAAAAGCTACTGGAATTGTTACTTTTTCTCTAATAACACTATTAAGATTAAGTCTCTCTGTATCTGATGGTGTGATATAAGGCATCCATAATGATACTTTTGTAAGATTTACTTTTCCTGCAGCTGCTGCAGCAGATCTAAAAATAGCATTATTATCATTTTTTCTTTGTAGAGCCAATGTATATTTAAATCTGTAAAGTACCTTAGTATAATCATCGCAGAATCCAAAAACATGCTTTAAAGGTATAATAAATGAAAATGTACCTTTATCATTCGGTTTCTGAATAATGTAAGATTGTCTTGTTGCAAATCCGACATTAGTAGTCAAATTCGCATCTGTTGTATTATCTTTGTACCATAGTTGATTTAATCCTTCTGCTAATTGGAAGTCATTTGAATATTTGAGCATTCCTAACATTGTAGTTGCTTGTCTAAATTATTTACTGATTCTATGTTCTGTCCTGATAAATCATATTCCATTCTACTAAATAAATGCATAATTCCATTGTGTGTAAGTGTAACTACAGCTGCGTTAGCATAGGATGTTCCATCTGCTTTTAGAAGTCTTCGTTCAACTTGTATATAAGCTTTAGATGGAAGAAAAAATGAATCCGTTATCTCAATATTAATTTTTATTGGTACTGTATCATTTACATTCGTACCAGTTGGTGGAACATATTCTCCAAATTGAAATCTGGAAATACTTTCATCATTAAAGGGTTGCTCTGTTAAATTTAAACTTTTGTAATCTGCCATTTTTATATATATAACATTTTTTTTAATTAATTTTCATTAATTTTTATTGATAAAAATTTTAGAAAAAATATTATACCATTTTTAATCCTCTTCCCATCTTTACTAATTCTTCTAGTTTAATAGCATTTGAATGGCTTAATTTTTTAGATGGAATTGCAGATCCCATCATCATTGTATTTATATTTGTTGTGACTTAATTAGATAGATTTTGAGCAAGTTCATTAGCTCCAGATCCAACTAAATTTGAAAGTACTTGTTTACTCTCAGGTTTAAGCTTTGATTTTTTAATCAACTTGTTTCCTTTTTCTACGATAATATCTTTAGCTGTAGAGATTGCATTTGTAGCTAGTTCTTTACCTGCTACTTTTGCAGCATCTATTGCAGTTTTTCCTAAATCACTAGCAATGGCTTTATTAGCTAAACTACGTGATATTTTAAGAGCATTATTAATTGATCTATTATTGAGTAAACCTCTAAAAAGACTAAATATACCACTTCCATCGACAAAATGCTTTTTAAAAACTCTTTTCTTCACAATCAACATTTTTATTTACCTACTATTTTTATTTAGTTTATTTCTAATAAATGCGGATCCCTTATTTATCTCTAAAGAGATCTAAAATGGTTAGTCAACATAGTCTTCATACCAAATAATGCTCTAACAAAATCTGAAGATTTTGCTCTATTATATACATTATTAATATCATCAAATATATCACTTCCACTTACAAAATGCTTTTTAAAAACTCTTTTCTCAACAATTAACATTTTTATTTACATATTATTTTTATTTAAATCTAAAATTGTTCTGTATTGATTTATACTCTTCATTATTCAGTACACCTAAACATAATAATTCATCACAAATTGCAACAGCTTCATTTCTAGTATTACCTGCTTTCAATGCTGCTATAAGAAATGTAAGCATTTCAATTAGTGCATCTGGATCACTTGGAAGAAAGATGACTCCTTTTCCAGATTTTCCAGTTATCTCTTCCCAAATGGGTTTTATTATCTTATTATATTTTTCACTTCTAGATGATCTAGGTTTTCCTGGATATTTACTAGAAGAAATAGCATAATTAATATTGGTTTAATAATTAATTAATATTGGTTTTTTCCTATATACAATTTTCCATCTTTTAAGTGTATACCGAATGTAGTATCTGCTGCTTTCATATTACTATATGCTGACTTTAGATAAATTGTTGCTATAGTTCCTAATGAAATTATTTTGCTATCAAGTTTCATATCAGATTTAACATCTTTACTTGTTATTTCTTTAGTTTCAGGTATACCCATTATTGCAGGACATTTTGATAGAGTATTTAGCTAAATAATCAGCTTTATTTTCTAATTTAGACAAGTTTTCTTTTATTCGAGATTGAATATCGATAATAGGTTTGTATAAATTACCCAAGCCAAACTGTAAGTCATCATATCCAAGCTTTTCATTTACTGCATCTTGATATATACTTTTTTCAATCTTTCAAGCTCTTTAAAAGCTTTATTTCTTTTTTTTCGGATCTACAATATTTAATTTTATATACATAACGACGTTTTTTATATACATAACTTTTTCTTTTAACGTGTTATCATGTTTTTTACTATCATAAATCATGTTTTTTTACTATCATAAATTATGTTTTTTAATAATACAAATTATTTCAAAGTATCTATTATTCCTATATTTTGATTATTACCGAATGATCCATTTTTTGTAAACCTACTATTTAACACTTCCATAGCATCTTTATGACCTTTCTCTTCACCTTGTTTAAATATTGATTGTTTAGTTTGTTCATAAAGTTCTACTTTAGATTTTGTTCTAATTTCTTTAACCATGTCTTTAAACTTTTGAAGTTCTCCAAGTATCATTTTAAGTTCTATGTCATGGATTTTACCATCTTCTTTAGCTGTAGAAATATAATCTCTAATAGTATTTAATTTTGCATCAGCTAATATTTTAATCTTTTCATGCTTTGTTGCTTTTATGTTTAATTTTTTAATAACTAGAGATCCTATTAATGATAATACACCTGCACCTAATGCAGCTCCTTCACGTGCAATAACCACTAGTGCTGCTACTATTGTTGACAAAATGCCTATACCAACAGCTCCAAGTGTCATAGTGCTAGCTAGTAATGCTAATTATCAATAAATGAATCTCATATACGTGATAATATAGATTTAACAAAGTCTTTATCTTCTTTTGGTTCTTCTTTTGGTTCTTCTTTTGGTTTAACATTTTTATTAGATTCTGAATGGATCAATGCTCTGCTAGATACATAACTGATTATATTTATAATTCCATTATAAGATAAAATATAGAATAAACAACTTCCTTTTTCAATTTTTTTATCTTCTTTATCATTATTATATAAAGTTACTACAATATCATTAGTAGACTCTGCTATTACAGAATTAAGTATGTTTAAATATGGTTTATATTTTTCTGTAAGTGCAACTAATACATGTCCTTCATGTATTTTTACTCCACACTTTAAAGAAATGTGCAAATATATATTTGATTTTACTACAAAATCTTGCTGTGCAAATACTCTATATTTTTTACTATTAACATGAGTTGGAATATGATCTAAATTCTGATTATATATTAAATCTATTTTTTTTATTTTTGTTAGTTCCAATATTTAAATACATTTTATTCATTTTATAAAGATGTTTATTTATTTATATCATTTAAAAAAAATGATTTAAATAATTTTTCTTGTATATATTAAAAATGTCATAAGTAGATATTAAAAATTTTGATGAGACAAAATTTTGTGCTGATCAAGTAATTGATTATTATAAACTTGTTCATTATCAAAAAATGAGAATTGGTTATGATATAAATAACGAAGCACTAATAATCGAAACACCAAAATTATTCTTATTTGGAGTTTGTGAAAATAGAGATCCAAAAACGAATAAACTGAATGAATATTCAATTCCACTTGTTTATTTTAATGAAATGATAGGAAAGACTAAAGAAGAAGAAAAATTCATTGCAATAATTCAGTTTATTGAGAGATTTTGTAGAGATAAAGTCAGAGAAAAACAATTAAAAAATAAAGTGAAGAATTTTAATACTGACAACTTAAAAATTCTAAAATGTAATGATAATAAACCTCCTGTTATTTTTGCAAAAATACTGACGAAAGATATTGATGTTAAGATGGATACTATATTTAGATCTACAAATGATGATGAAATTTCAGAACATAGTATTATTAAAAAAAGATGTTATATTGTTGGATGTTTAAGAATTGAAGGTATTTATATTGGCTCAACGATTCAATCTATACAAGTTAAATTAGATAATGCAGTTGTTTATGAAAAATAAAGTAAATAAATTATAAAATGATTTATAATAATTTAATAAGAATTATTATAAATATAAAGAATGGGTTTTGAAGTACATAAATATAAATCAAATATCATTACATTTCAATTTGATCCTATTATTGAACTTGATAAAAAAGAAAGTATGAAATGGCATTTATAAGATTAGAAACTATTCACTATAGCGTTTCATCTCAAACAAAATGCGTACATATATTAAATGATCTTGTTGTTGGTAAGATTATCAATGGTAAAAAAACTAGTGTAATGCATACATTTCTACCTATTACTCGTCCTTCAGGAACGAATCTTGTTGAAGAACTGAGTTTTAGAAGTTATTTTCCATTAAAAACAAATACATTGTCAAAAATGACAGTTAAAATAGTAGATGGTGATTGTCATGCTATAGATATGAGTAAAGAAAGATTAATAATACAATTTCACCTCAGAGAAGTAAAGTAGATACCGAAGGTATCCATGCTTTGCTAAATTTTTTGTATTATAAAATGATATAAAAAATAAATATGCATATATAAAAATGGATATATAAAAGAAGATTATGAAATGGCATTAATAAGCTTAGAAACATATCATTTACTTAATAATATTACTGAAAATAACAATAAATTTACTTATATTGTTTATGATGCAACTACTAAAAAACCATCGACAGCTAATCGTAATATTCCAGAAGGGGTCGATGAATTTACTTCGATCAATGACTGGATGCAAAAAGATTTAGTTGCTCCGCAACTTCCTATGAATTCAATTACTTTTGTAGGAAATACAACAACATTTAGAGTTACAATGACTATTGCAACAAATTTTGCAGTTGATTTTTCCATTGAAAAATCAATCAGAAATCTTTTAGGTTTTCAAAGTAAATTATATACTGCAGGTGTTTATGAACCTGAAAAAACAATAGATATAAATCATATTAATACTATACATGTAAAAAACAGTATTATATCAGGATCTTATTTAGATAATTCACCTAGCAATATTATTTATACATTTTACCCCTCTGTAGCTCCTGGAGCTAAACTTGTAGAAAAACCCAATGTTCCCGTTTACTTACCGATAACTGTAAAAGGAGATATTCGTGATATGGAAACTTTATTAGTTGACCAAGATGGTGGCCTAATTGATGTACAAGGAGAAAGAATAACAATGAAATTTCATATAAGAGAACGAACTTCTAAATGTGAAGAATCTATTCAAAAAGAACAGTTAGCAGTTCAAAAAGAAGAAGTAGCACTTCTAAGAAAAAGTAAAACTTCTTAAAGAACAAGGAGCAATTAAAAA